ATTTCTCAGCGGGTGTTTGCTCCGGTGCTTACCTGCCGCAGACGACGCCGTCTCGAGCGGTCCCACAGACGCCGTAAATTACCTGTGCCTTTTGGACGTCTGTCCCGAGGATGTTTCTGTCTTCCATTATACTGGATAGACATATACATATATAAGCAAAAAAGCCAGCAGCACCTATGATAAAGTGAATGAAAGACCTTTATTGTACCTTTACCTTCAACTTGCCTCAAAGGCAGTTGTAGTTGTATGAACATATGTCAAGTTTATGATACATGTATATGGTTTGTCTAGTTTCTGAAGGATTAATACGGATGTTTCATTTCTATCTAAATTTCTAAAACTGGGACAAGTACAGAGGATATCTCTCCCATCTGTATGTAATGCACAGTCAACGAGAAAGACCGTAGCTAATAATCTCCAAGCAGATGATGAGGTAGAACATCGTGAAGTTTTCTGCTTGGAGGTATCGATTCAGCACAGTCCCTTGTTTTCTACACAATTATTAGTTTGACAGAAGTCTTGACTTTATCGTAGAACGACGATTGAGTTTATACGAATGGAAGGACGCTATATTTAAAGTGTGAAAGGAATTTGAACTAGGTTTTGGAATTCAGATTCTAGAGTCGTTTTTTTTCAATACGGGTTGATTCTGATTTATCGAAGCAGTCAAACTGTTTTAATGGATCTAAAGACTGCATTCTATTATCTTCTCATGTAAAACCTCTCGTTAAGCGACTGCAATTTGGCTACATGGCTGATGAGCCAAATGAACTATGCGTCTCCACGATCGATGTTTCAACAGTGCATCCATTTATGTTAAACTTGTGCGGCTGCACAGATGGCAAATCTCTGCTTTGTGTTTTGAATACAAGAGCATACACCGCTTCCTGAATATACTCATAAGATTACTTTTATATACTTAGGTAAGCTATGTAGCTCTCAGTACATAGTAGCTATCGAGTGGATTCATTCCTCAAGCTAACCAACATCTCGCACACGCAGTCGTCCCTCAGTAAGACATTTGGAGCGGCATAGTTCCCGTTCAGAACTTTTATATCAGCCTGTCACACGACCGGTTTCGCCTGTGTGGCTTCTTCAAGAGACTAATTGTTACTCAACCAGCAGATACTTACGTTTCGGCGTATTTGGGACGTGTTTTAGGCATTTTAATCGGACTCTCTTTATTTGGACTGGTATAATTTTTCCCGTTAGCCTTACCTTAGGGTGGCAAATGGTAACTGCCCGGCAAAATATGGATATGCCTGGCCTACTATTGTCTTTGCAGCCACCAAGAAATATTTCACACAAACAGCCTCCAAGGCAGACATGTGAAAAGCTTTTATTTGTATTACATTATACAAATGTACTGAAACAATAATTAATGTTATTCTGAAACAATAATTAACATTATACTGAAACAATAAAAGAAATATATATGATATGATGTATATTGTAGAAAGGCCGACCCCAATTTTTTTGTCAAGTTCGTCGTTCAGACGACTTGATCTGTCGTGCCCTTATTAACGCACGTGGCGGGGCCTTCTGACCAAACCTTGATTGCGCGTTGTCCGCCAGGACTCATCACAGGGACGAAAAATGATATCAGGTCATCGTGTGTATGAGAGGTCCTGGCGAAGTAACGATGGTTGTGAAAATATCGTTCAGACATTTTTGGCACAGTGCTCCGAGTTGGTGCGATGGTATTAGTTTAGAAAGCTTGTTATCGTGTATGATGGAGGACAACCTTACGTAGAAAAGTATGTTAACATTCACTTTTGAAATATGAACTATCTTGGAATACAGTATACCGTAGATGAGCAATTAGAAAAATAAAAAAACAATACAAAAAAGGAACAACAAGTTTTTGTGGTTTTGTTGTCACATAAAGTTTTATGCAAATATAGATCAGAGCTACATTGATGACCGTCGACATTGGCTCGATTGCAAATATTCAGCTGGGACATTTGCATGCTCTGGTAATTCTCTTTTATTGCAGTTTTGTTCCATTTTGACAAAACAGCCGCATAACGGACAATAAAGCTTCCTAATCGCCCCGACACTACCCATAAAAAGAACCATACCGCCTGCCCTGGAGCAGATGCACCTCGGAACGCCAGATTGCCCATCGCTGATAACACTGCTGTTGTTGGGCTCCTTTCATCTGTAGCGAGGTGCGCTCCGCACAGGAGGCAATTTGCCGCGGCTTTACGATTCTCTCCCTCATGGAGACCGGCTCTCAGATTGCGGCCCAAATCTTGTTACGGCTCGGGCCAAGATTTCGGGGCGATGTCTTGGCGTGTGAGAGAGGTGCTCGGAGGCAATTGAAAGGGCTGTGATGTATTGACCAGCAGGGATCAAGCACGTCTCATCGCTAAGACGTGTGGACAGAGTTCAGCTGACCCTCTTTAGTTTACTGTGTGAGCCAGAATCATGAGGGCAGAGCGAGAAGTAGCAATGAACTGGCAATATAGCGGGAGTAACGGGTCGAGGGAAAGAAAGAAATTTCAAAAATTTACCCTCTAATGCAACGTTTCTATTTTAGATTCTTTAGTTTAGACCAGCACAAAAGAATAATTGCACAGTGACATGCAGGTTTCCCAACGTTAACTGGTATGGTGATCTTATTCTTTTCTGTTATACCGAATTTCTAGTCACCTATACAGAAGACGAACATAAGATTCAAACATTTCTGACGGTTACGTTTCTCTATATAAAAGAAGCCCGACGTTGACATTCTAAAGGTCTTTTATATACTTTTTCCATTTAAGAGCTGCTATAAAACTAGATCGATGTATATTTCTATAATTTAGGCAGGAGATAGTTAATAGAATTTATCATTATTATACCTTTGAGGTACTTAGCCTTCAAGCATGTATTTGCAATAAACTTCTTATGACTAGTATTGCTTTAACGCCTTTCTCTATTTATGTTTCGTAGCTGAAATGATGTTTGTTGTTTCTGTGGCGCCGCGGTTTCGTACGTACTGTTTACCGAACATGACCTTGACGTACGCCCATCAGGGTAAGGGTCCCTCAGGAAATTCTCACAGCTCGCACCTGGAAAAGCAATCTCCTCCATATGGCGACGTTTTTGTAATTTTCCGGCGGTGGAACAGGCGAAGGCGTGGTGCCAACTTCGGGGAAACAATAACATGGCATGGTATAAAATACAGGCATAGCTCGTTGGCATTTTATCTGTGTTGGTACAAGTCATTATGAAGCAAGATTAAGGTGCAATTTTGAATTCCAACACAAGAAATTGGACACAAATTTTCATCAGTACAACTTAACTCCGGTCTTTGTCAAGGCATGAGTGAGCCACAGATTCTGTGACGCCACGTTATGCAGATGAGATACGTGACTCGGTGAACAATAGATCACAGGTTGTAGAGAGTCTGTGGCGCCCCCCGTCTTTCTTGAGGGATAAACTTTGCCTGGCTAAAGTTTCGGCAACTCTTCAGCTACCTTCGCCTTGGTCTGAGATAGCCGAGGTGTTACCGAAACGAAGCCCAGGTATATTTTTTCGAGGTTGAGTCACAGGAACATTATTTTTCTATGGTGTTTCCTGTCTGATATAACCGTTGATGGATCTGAAGGGTTAGGTGGATATAGCTCTAAAGCCTCACAAAGAAATTCGCGCCGAGGAAACTGAAATTGATTCATGTTTCCGGAGAAAATTGTATATTTTCAACTAAGGGGTTATAAATTACCCATGTTGTATTATTAAAACATACGACCTTTTTAATAAAGGAGAAAAGGGGTGGCGTTTTGTCATTTTCCTAAGCTGAATTTAATGTTATAGGCATGAATAATGACATGAGTTTTTACAACAGTATGATCAGAAAGTTGTAATCCGTAAAGCCTAAACATCAGACGACCCAACAAATAAACTAGGTCATCACTGATGACCTTCAAACAGATGTTCTAGATGTCTAGTAGTTTAATCTTTCTATTATCATGACTACATTAGAAGCAGCATTAGTCGACAGTTTTAAATTTATTCTATGCATGCTTATTTTCAATTCTTTACTATTATTTTCTCATTTCCAATGTACTTGCAATTAGCCCTCTGGCAAGAATTTGCAATTAAGTTTGACTAATTTCTGTAGAGCTGTAACTATCTATCCACAAGGAATATTCCAGATCTACAGAATAAGTAGATGTAAGTAACCATGCAATTCGCTCTCACCGAATGTTTCTGTTTTCAATCAGATTAATATTACAGCACCATCTGTGTATTAATGCACTTCAGACCTAGCTGTAATTATCAACATTTCCTAAGTGTACGTCGTAAGACTGCACATTAATGCATTAATTCGGTAATGTCATAAATTAAGAGGCATAATCTAATATCTTCTCCATCTATCTCCATGCATTATTTGTGGTGAATATACGAACGCTCCATTACTATACACTCCAAGCAGAGGTTGATAGTTAACTTTTGATATATCATATGGCCCATTCTTTTTTCGCTACCCCTTGGGTGGTGAATTGCAATCTCTGTGGCCAATGGATACTGCCTGGCCAATTTGATACTGTCTTTCTGCCACCTTAGAATCTGCTTGAAGATTACCATTACTGAATACAGTATTCCCTGCTGTTGTTATGAGTTACGTAGCGATGTCGTGTCGTCTGCATTACGTTCATAAATCAGAACCATTAGAGAGAAGTCCTCATTAGAGAGCCGGGGTTGATCTGGAGATAGGACCCCGGCGATCCATCAACCCAGTCCCAAGGGTTACACACTGTGTATCCGCGAACGCTGATCTACAAGAAAAAAGTGTGCTGAGCAGGTGGATTTACGAACTCTGTTCTACTCAAATCACACAAGTACTACTAATGATGGAGTTGGGATCAGCAGGGTAGAAGCATACTGGTTTTTATATAGGTCAAATGTTAGGGCAGATCCATTTTTCAAGGGGCACAAGATGTATTGTACTTGACTTTTACCACGACAGGTCTTTTTAGTGCGTCATAAAACATCCATGGAAACCAATAACGATGGTTCCCATCGGATTTCTTGGTATTATACCTTTATGATATAATGCTTTATATAAAAAAAGTGATGAAATAAATATACCAATCCTGATCAACAAACACTCACTCGGTCAGTCAACCAGCACAATCAGCCAACAAACTAGTTTAAACTTTGAAGCATTAGTATTTGTACTGTCGCTAACTTAGTCATCAAACAGATACAAAATTACATCACGTTATGTTTTCTTTATCTCCATTCTATACACCAGATTTGTCGACGAAAGACAACGCATTGCTAATCTTGACAATTCATTCTTAGTACCTAAAATTGTTCATACTTGCTGTCTAAAATGCGTTTCTTTTTGTTTTCCCACCAGATGTCGCCGCTCAGTCGTCTATTGGCCTCACCCTCCCGGAGAATGTCAACACCATCGTGGGGGACCCGGTCACTCTTCCTGCGACGTTTCAGACCAGCAGACGGATCATGAGCGTGTCTTGGGTAAAAGTTCAGACTGAAACTAAACGGACGTCAGTCCTGACTTATTATCCTCAACTTGGATCTTCCGAAGCCCATGGTACCTACAAAGGGAGGGTCTCGCTTGTTGGAAAGGCGTCGCTGAAGATAAGCCAGACTGAAGTTGGAGATGAAGGAACATACGTGCTGTCTGTTATGGTGAAGGGGCTTGGCACTGAGGAAGGTGCTGTGAAGCTAAATCTGCTCGGTGAGTTTCATTTTTATCAAATATTGTACAATTAACGTAAGATGTCAACTTCAGGGTTGAATGAGGGGCTACTGTGTAATTGATTCTATACTCAACTGTGCAGACAAGTTGCAGCTGGACGTGACTTAAAGTTAGCGTAAAGAGTCTGTTATGGGTACATAGCAAACTATCATAACAGACTACGAAAAGTTCCCTAGTTAAGTTAGGTAATACGCTGATGTTTAAGATTATCGTTGCATTACTTTCTTAATGTAATACTTAAAATGCCATTATCTTTAAGTACCCCCGACGGTTGAAGTCGGCCCGTCCAACCCCTACGTCACTTCCGCCGGAAGGACCGCCACCCTGTCGTGCACCGTGAAAGACGCGAAGCCAAACATCACTTCCCTCCACTGGGAGAAAAACAGCATCAAGATCGACAGCGAGAAATTCGACACCAAATATTCTGGCGGGAACCTTCAGTCACCTGACCTGGCCATCCGTCACGTGACCAGGGCTGACCGAGGCCTGTACACGTGCGTCACAAATCACGTGGTCCGATCAACAAGTGCAGCCCTAAAGGTAGAGGTGCTTTGTAAGTGCGAAGTTCCTTATGGTCAACAGTTTAGTGCATTTTGAACGTTTAGCATAGGACTATATTAATCAGAGGGTTGACGTCATTAGTCACGTGACGTTTAGCCTATCAGAATGATCAATACAGAATAAACTTGGCTCGCTCCTCTGTCAGTTAATTAGAACAATCCAGTTGGTAGTTGTAATTTCAAAGGTGACTACATGATAACTGATGAGTTCACATTCACCACTTTGCTGGCAAAGAGATTGTTGTTTATTTTTTCTCATCGCCGTCAACATTACAAACTTGTTTTCACAGACGCAGCCACCATTTTAACTGTGTCCGACTCCCTGACTGCCGTGACGTCAGAGCGCGTCATCCTGCAGTGCGTGGCCGAGGGCAACCCGCCACCGGACATCACGTGGATGAGGAACGGAGTGCGCCTGCGCAGTGTGACGCGCACCGTGTCACATGACACCACGCGCGCAGGCTCCGTGATGCTGCAGAACGTGCAGATGAACGCTACAGGGACGTACGTGTGCACTGCCAGTAACGGTGTGGGGAAGAGCGACATCAAGTCTCTGCAGCTGTCTGTCAAAGGTGGGGCCACAGTCATTCTAGGGAGGTTTTCCATAGGCTGAATGTGAGCTTTCATGATCAGCTCGGTAGATAGCAATTGTTCATTAAGTTAGTATATTTAAACCGTAATTTCTAAGACAAGAATTCGGACTTACCCAAATTGTTGACTGTGTAACTCCAGTCTTAGATAGTCCAAGACAGCGATCCGCCACAACGTATCGAAGTCCCAATCCCAATTTCTAGCCATAATTTTTTTTCTCCAAAATTTTATGTCTATCCAGTCGACTATCCTTGGGGTATATTTTCTTCTGTTATAACATTCATTTTTCGTTTCAAAATGTTTTTTTCAGCGTTTCGCTCGTCAATGGATGAGAACACCATCGCCATCCTGGTGGGCTCAATCGCGGGCGGTCTCTGGCTGCTCATCTGCCTGGGGCTGACCGTGTACTTCTTCCGGCGGCGCCGGGACCGAGCCGAGAAGAAGCGGTTCTCGTTCTACTACAACATGGGCCGGGGGCAGGCCGACGCCACGGACAGCAAGCCCGGGGAGGAGACACTGGAGGTGACCCGACACCCCAACCTGCAGCCGCCTGGTGAGTTGGACACACGGCAATGCCAGGAGAACGTAACAACAACAAAAAAATAATTTCTTTTAGGTGGCTGTTAAGACAGTATCGAATTGGCCAGGAAAATTCTGCAGGGCCATTTGCTGTAAGACTGTTATGAAGCCAAAGAAAAAAATGGTCCATCATCGTAATTTTCGACCTGCAGCCTCCTGGTGAGTTGGACACACGGCAATGCCAGGAGAATGATCAAAATGACCTCAAAAAACCTCAAAGGAGAAGGGAAATACGTATACCATCATGATAGAAGGTAAACAGGCAAGATGAGTTAGGAGCGGATAAAGTTAGGTAATAAAAGAGAGGGCACCTAAACGGATAAGAAAAGACAAGGTATATACTTCTTGGCTTGCACATCCCTGGAAGGTTGTTATGAAACCAAAGAAATGAAGTTTCATCATCGCAATGAGTTCCAGGTTGAGTGTTAGAGATTGTGTTATGGAAACATGGAAACATGGAATATCCTTGTGTTTCAGCTAAGACGGTGTCTCAAAAGGGTCCGTACGCTGGCATAGAAACCATCCGACGGACGACGAAAGGAAAAGGTTTGGAATTGTTTATATTAAACCTCACAAATAGTAAAGAAAAGACCTATAAGCCCCAAAGAAAAGAGTATTTTAAATGCAAACGAAGCATAACGCAGAAGAACACCAAGTCCCCAAGTTAAAGTGGCAACAACACTTACACATATAAGGAATTGTGCGTTTTTTCAACTTCTAACTTTCCACCTCCAGTGAGGAGATACGCCCAGGTTCTGTACGCGTACCACGCACAAGAGGAGAACGAACTGTACATGGAGACTGGTGACGTCATCGAGGTGCTGGAGGGGGAAGATGGCGGCTGGTGCCTGGGTTACCTCAAGGGCAGAATAGGCCTGTTCCCCTCCAACTACGTCAAGTTCCTGTCGGCTTCCCAAGGTGAGATTTGCAAGTTTAATGAAAAAGAATAGTTATAATGTAAAACAAATGTGAACCATGCACCAGAAATATGTTCATAAAACTGAAGGCTGACAGAGATAAAGTATTCCTGTGTACGCTATAGGTCAACTCAATCTATCAGATAGAAATCAGGGGCCAACGGGGTGCAACATCTCACGACCTGTATCGTTTTCCCACTCAGTCTCTGCAGCAAAGATCCGTGAACTTTACTCTGACGCAAGTAAGAAACAGGGCAAGTCCAGTATCTGAACTGGGCAACGCCAGGTGACGTCAGTCGTAACCATAGTGACGACATCAACAACGGAGCAGCAGGAAGAATTGTAGATAATCTAATACCGGAAATGGATGGCGGTTCAGGAGTTGAGTTAGGGGTGACTGACTTGAGCAGATAAAATGTGATAAGAAGCCGTCCACGAAGAACTGTACGGATGCCCCATAGTCGTATTGTTGTACAGCAAAGTTCTGTGTCCCTCATGTCCGAATATTGTACCAAAACGTGGCAACTGTGGTGCTCAGCGGTCCTGTATGTATGATAAGTCTTGTGACCGTAGATCGATTTACTGTATAAGCTATTGTTGTATGTCAAGGGGTGGAGGAGACATCATTGAGTTTTCTAAGACAGTGCGCCTGCTTCCATGTAATACAAAGATGTTGTAAATAGCCGTAATTATATATAAGATGGGCGCTATACAGTAACACTAAATCCCCGTCAAAAACAGAGCCTCGTTTTGATTAACGTCACGCAAAATCTCGTAGAATCTCGCAGAACCTCAGAAGCAATGAATTACTCATTTCCCTGATCTACCTACCGTTAGAAACTGTGCAACTTTTCCCTTGTCCTTCGTGGATCAAAATATTGTTAATACTCGTAAACTGTAACTGTGTATCTTGTTGAAAGTTATTACAACTATATGATGATGATAATCTCAAAGTATACAGTTCGTTAGATTTCGGAAATATGGTGTAACAAAGACTTATCACGACCACACTAATATGCCAAATGGAGCAAATTTACAAATTTCACAGTGTTTTAGAAACTTTGAAGACAATGTGCTACAACAACCTTGTGACATTTTGCATGTGACATTTGTGACAAATGTGGCCAATATGTGTAATTGCCCGTGACCCCGGGCTATGAAATGTTTTGTTGAAAAATGTCGGTTGTTACAGTGCAAATGATATGGTGATGTATGTTCCAATATTCAGACGACTGTCTCATTGTTTGCGTTCGGCTTAATTAAATCTATCTAGGAAGGCATAACTGCAGATCTATGATAAGGAAAATGTATGACTTCATTTGGTATTCCATGCCGTAAGAGATACCTCACGCATGGCAAGCATGCGTCCCTGGAGATTCCGTTATCAGTAATGTTCATACACAACTAATAATTTACATGCCGACCATGTAATGGGAAGTAAATAAATATGAACCGCACGTACTTTCATCTTGCAGACACGTTTTTCAACCTATCAGTCGGATGAAATAAACTTAGTCAACAAATTAAGTAGACGTGATCGACATTTTGTGTAGTCTTGTTCGAGGAGGAATCGTATGTATGTTTCCAGGACGATTTCTATAGACAAGCTGCATCTTTGTTTTTCCTACTATCAAGAATTATAAAAACACTTGGCTTGGTACGAATGGTCCTATATTCTAGCAAGATGTACCAATAGTACAGATGAGGGCTTATGATTTTTCACATATTAGAAGGCTATGAGTATGATGTCGTGAGGCCATACGGACAGGTCGTCTACATACTGCACTAAAGAACATAATTGAGACTGAGAAAGGATTAAGGAGAAAGAACTATCAGAAATTATGTATCACAGAGACTTCTGGAAGAAAAACTTTGTATTAGCTTCAACTGATTGTGTAGTAATGTAGATAGATGGATAGAGTGCGATTTACATTATGTGTACCGTTTGTATAGGGTCTTCATATCCTACAAAAGCGCCCTGTCAAGGCCTCTGACATAATTGGCAGTTTTCGGAGTGACATTCGCGTCACGGAGCATGTACCGTGCCCGCCGCAGCCCCGTCTGGGAGCCGCGATGCGATTGTTGAAGAGGTGGTTAGGTCGTGCTGAGTTGGCAGTAATGGCGCCCTGTAAAACCCCGGGTCGCCACGCTAAACACCAGGGGCAAGAGTACTAAAGAAGGCAGTGCTATTGGAGCACGCCAGACACGCGAGGGGGGAACCGCCGGGAAGGGAACTTAGGCCCTGTTCACACGGAAACACTGTAACCGCTTTCAATCCAGATTGCACCGAAGCCGGATTCAAGTGGCCCCATCTGAACGCTCCAAATAGCGTTAAATGCGCCTCGGTCCCAAACCACCTCCGGATGTAGTTTCAAACCAGTTTTACCGAATCGCGAATTTGCGTCTGAACGCGATGTGATTCCAATGTGACTTCACCGGTTTACTTTACATATTGACCCGGTCATGGATTAACGGGATGATATTTCTTTATGCAATACCAAAATTTACGTGGCAGCTTCACGGCCTCTGGTGGGACCACGTCGGCATTAGGCCGAGGCACGCTGGGAGGGGGACACACCAGCAAGCAGGTCGTTGACCTCTGACATTGATAACACGCTACCTTCCGTCTTTTCATCAAACAACAATGAATGTAGTTTAGGCGAATCGTACACGGGCACGGTTTAACAGGAACGTGTGACACCAGATGTGAAGAATGCGATTTACCCGAATCGCGGTTCAGGCGTTTTTGTGTGAACTGGGCTTTAGCCAAGCCCCAATGCCGGTGGTTTATAGGGAAAGAACTGGAGCTACAAAGGTGCATTTAGGAAACAAGTGTGAACGACCTTGAAAGGCGTTATCTTTCCATCATTCGATTTGTTTAAATGATGAGGCATTGGAATCTTTCTAACAGCCAATTCATCACTCTATTGTTATTCTTGCGGTGGCTTAATACTGACGACGTACTAAATCCAGGGGATCCGACACTGTGTTCTAGCTCAGGAATTGAATTAAGTAATATCCCTGTAACAGTGTAATTGGTAGATGCAGATAATCCTTCAAATAACTTTTACTTTAACTGAGCAGTCATTGCTAAACACGGAAGCCCTGAAAAACACACCAAGCCACAATTTAAAAATGTATTTTGACCGGAAGAGTCACCTTGAAAATGACCAAGCCGTCCCAAACAACGTTACAGGGATTTTAGGACACCGTAAAAGGACAACGTTTCTTTCATGTTTCATGCATCAGTCAAAGAATTACAGCGTATTTCCATTTAGAATAACACGTCGCAGTCACATCACGTCGCTGCAAAAGTTCTAGATGAGTTCATCCACTTCTGATGTATGTGCAATTTCAACTTCCACAAACGTTTTGAAGAGGAAGTGAAGTGGGTGTATAAACATCTCCATGGTACTGATTCAGCCTTCCGTGCTGGTAGAATTGTGGGCTGTGAAACGTGCCAGATAGTCTACAAGAATAGCCACCAAATATGCTGCAAAATATATGATTGAATCGCCAGAAATCCTGCTATTTTGTTGTAATTTATTTTCAACTCTATATGCTATTTGTTACCGTTGTGTTTTGGTATCTATAAGCTTTACTTTTAAGCTTAATCCTACTACGGTAGCCGTTTGGCACCACTTCGTATTGCTTGTGGGGTTAGGCAGCATGGAGAAGGTTAAACTCTTTATGCTCCTCTCCCCTTGTTGGGATTTCAAAAGAACGATTTATGTCCCTTCCTTAATTAACCTGGACACAGAACACGGACAGCCTTGTTGCAGCGTGTTCATCACTGGCGCCAGATGGTCACTCAGGACTCTTCTCCTATAACACGTTTTGACACCTGTGTTATAGATCTTCCCGGTTCTATAATCTATACAATCATGGTGGTCAAGGAGGGTAGCACCGGTGAAAAAAGGCGACATGGAGGTCTTGTTACAATATGTTCAGTGTGGTAAAATGGCTACTTAGGTCCCCTCGCCTATAACCCATTTCGACACGTAATACTTCCCCACTCTATCACCCACGCCAAGTAGTTCAATCATGGTTGGTCATAAGAGATAGGGATAGATAGATAGACAGATAGAGAGACAGAGAGAGAGAGAGACAGACAGAGACAAACAAACAGACAGACAGAGACAGACAGAGACAGACAGAGAGACAGGGAGAGACCGAGACAGGGAGAGGCAGAGAGACAGAAAGAGACAGAGAGACAGAGAGAGACAGAGAGAGACAGAGAGAGACAGAGAGAGACAGAGAGAGACAGAGAGACAGAGAGAGACAGAGAGAGACAGAGAGAGACAGAGAGACAGAGAGAGACAGAGAGACAGAGAGACAGAGAGAGACAGAGAGAGACAGAGAGAGAGAGAGAGACAGAAAGAGGCAGAAAGAGGCAGAGAGACAGACAGAGACAGAGAGACAGAGAGAGACAGAGAGACAGAGAGAGACAGAGACAGAGAGAGACAGAGAGACAGAGAGAGACAGAGAGAGACAGAGAGACAGAGAGAGAGAGAGACAGAGAGAGAGACAGAGAGAGACAAAGAGAGACATAGAGAGACAGAGTCAGAGAGAGACAGAAAGACAGGAAGAGACAGAGAGAGACAGAGAGACAAAGAGAGACAAAGAGAGACAGAGAGAGACAGAGAGAGACAGAGCAATACAATCTGTCAGTGAATATGGATGAACAAAGGCGACAGGGAAGTCTTGTTACAATGTGTTCACTGTTGCTGAAATGGCTACTTAAGACCCCTCGCCTCAAACACATTTCGAAACTTCCCTACTTTATCACCCAACACAATTTTAAACTAGTTCATGGCTTGTCATAAAGCGAGAGAGAGAGTAGCACAATCCCTCCGTGAAAATGGGTGAAAAATGACGACATCGCCCTTGGAAGTAAAGGACAAGCGTTGATCCGTTGTCGAGATTTGGTTAAGCCTCCCCCAAATCTCCCCTGGCATGTTTATGGCCAGGTCAGCTGACTGCGGGCAGTCATTGGCTGGAATTGGCCTCATAATCCTCTCAGCAATTGGGGCAGATAAGGGTGAGCACGCGAGAGCACTCTGCAAAGGGCACAGCCGCACGACTCTGTACAAATATCCCCCTCAGTTCATGAACCCTGGGCGGGAGTGTGGAGGATTTACCGCGAGGATTACAGGGAAGTAGTGCTTGTCAGAGGGCACACTTACGGCTTATCTACATGTCATCAACAGCTACCTCTGTGAGGGGGTGGCAAGGGCAGCAGGAAGACAGGCCTGCTCGCTGACTTTTGAGTTAAAGCTATACACACTCCTTTGAAAACTAAAACAAATCAAATAATGTGACGCACTCAGATGAACATCATTCCAATCATTGCAGTTCTATTTTCACACTGTTGAACTAAAATTGAACTGCTGTTCGTGCTTTCAGTACAATCTAGGTGTACGTTGACTTGCTACGACGTGCACAATAAAGGGTTATTGCCCCGCCCCTGATCAGGTGCGTTGACCACCGAATAAACCACTGAGTGAGCGTAGCGAACGAGGTAGTTTAGGAGGTGGTTATCGCACCTGTCCAGTTGATTATCTCACCATATACACCGAGGATAAAGCGGATCAGTAATATATGATGGTACGGTCCAAAAAGTTGTAGGTTATTCTTAATAACCGACCACTTTTGAAATTACGGCCTCATAATCCATGGGAAATGGAGCTTTTTTCTGATTGGTCGACGATAATAGATAATAATCCTGACTTATGAGGAAATCAACAGGACCCGAAGTTGGTTATTGTTATCCCTGAGCGAGACTTGTGGTTTTGTTAGAGAAAATGATGGTAGCTGTAGACGTGTAGATCATAGCCCGGCATATACTAGTACCTTTCGGTTGTACAGTGATTGCCTGCAGCACTTTAAGTGTGTATCAGAGATTGCCACCCACTCAAGGTGAGATTGCGTTAAAATCTAGGGATTCCGGCTAGAGATTGAACACAAATCACGAACCGTCACTTTCGTATTTTTAACACCTTGGGCTATCATGGGCTGTTTTGAAAGTTGTTGGTCGATGATCAAAACGTACCAACCACCCTTAACTAGTAGATCTTATTATCATTTGTCAGCTTTCATTACTCAGATATCATTTATTGTTCAGGTTAAAAATGGGACTGATCATTACCAATGTACCATACTTGTTCATTCATCCATCCATCCATCCATCCATCCATCCATCCATTCATTAATTTGTTACCAACTATCTTCCTCCATCCTTCCTTTCTTCCTTCCTTCCTTCCTTCATCTAGCTATTCATCCATCCATCCACCCATTCGTTTGTTGATTATTTATCTTACGTCGGTCAGGCTATACAAGGACAGAACTATGGTATAGAATGATCATTAGTTCGTACGTCTATCTTTGCGCTATCATTATTATCGCCAAGTATCACCTGTTGTGTTGGTTGCATTTCTCACCTGCTGCCTGCCTGTACGTGTGATGTAGATGATACGGAGACGGCATTATCTCTATACCAGTGTGGGTTTCCTGCGGGTCAGCTGAATCATACAGACGCTATCATTTTCTGAGGGACCGTTCAGAAACTGTCAGTCTCTAAGGAATCGACCAGAAACCGTGATTCTCTGAGGGACCGTTCAGAAACTGTCAGTCTCTCAGGGATCGGCCAGCAATAGTGATTCTCTGAGGGGCCGTCCAGAAACCATCATTTTAATTGTCCTGAAACTCATTTTCAGATGGACCGACCATAGAGGGACTGAACAGAAACTGTCATTCTCTGAGGGACCGACCAGAAACCACAATTCTCTGAGGGGCCGACCAGAAACTGTCATTATCTGAGGGACCGACCACCATTGGTCGTAGGCAGGGTTGTGTTCAAGATTGTAATATACTGTATGTTTTTGGGGGAATCCATAAATTATAGGCATAATTCAGTTAATTCCCCAGGGACGACGTTACTGACCAATGAAAGACTTTAAAAGTGGGAAAAATAAATAAATAAATAAACATAAGTGGGAAGAGAGAGGGGTGTCTAGGTAGGAGGACGAACAGAAAGTTCGAGCATCCGGTAAGGAGGAACTCTTTCTACGATTGTTAGTGAACTTACCGCTAATACTACGACTGCATCAACTTTCTGTAGTCGTCCCGTTCTCCTGTAAGAAGAGTTGACAGTGTTTGTCCTTGCCGATGAATGTAACGAGGTTTGCACTAAACGAGCGTCTCGTTTGACATGTGCGCTCTCTCATCTCTGTTTAGCGCTAGTTCTCCTATAGATGAGACCCCATGCCCACGCCTTGTAGACGTTCTTACAACCTGACATTTAGGAGTAACCACCGGGGGCGGTCTCAAAAGCTCACAGTTTGACTGCCGACGGGCATATAACCTAGTAGGAAAATTTGATTTTTCATACGTCTTTTATCAGGTCCCGGAGTTTGTAGCAAGTACAGATTCTGTGTTGAACAGGTATGCGTGAATAATCCGTACTCAATGCGTTTATGTACTTTTATTATCAGTGTTGTTATGGATACGATTGTATGAATATGTAAGACATATCATACACGGACTACGTCTAGAAATAGCTTTCTCTTGGAATATACCCGGTTACGCAAGTGTATGAGATGACCCCCATGCCTCTTATCTGGCGGCTTATTAAGTCTGTGTGGCCGGGGCTCGCAAATTGTGCACGCCGGGGCCAATTGCTGAAAGGCCAAAGCAACATGGGAAGATCAGATGGAAACCCAGAACAACGAGGTTCCGTAACCTTGTGAGATAAATGAAATTGGCTGCATAAAACATAAGAAACGGACGACACGGGGTGGCTCGTAACGCATAACACAAGTATGCGCACTAAAAGGTTTTAAAATACTGTGTAATATCAAAATACCAAAGATGAAACCACCAGATTGTCTTCTTCGTTTAAATTTTGTCACCAGATTGTCTTCTTCGTTTAAATTTTGTTTCATTCAGTATCGATGGTAACTTTTCATCTTATAGTATTGGGAAAGACCAAAGCTAAACCTCCAGGTTTCCCGCCCTCCCATGTATGTCTACTCAACTTCAATTGTTATATTTCATTTTATCTTGTGATTGCAAAACAAACAATAAACAAAGATTGGTACAAACCTACATTTTAATCAGTTGCAGCATGAACTACAGATAAGCATTACATTTTTTGTACATATATTTTTTTGGTTTTAGAATTAATTACTGAGTTTTAAATACAATGTAAATTCTTCATGAATCCGTCTGCCTAGCGACTGAGCTCTCGTTCTTGTATTAAAGGATATGCAGACATGAGCTGAAGCTTGTGGTCTCTTTATCTCGCTTACACAGACCCACACGTAGTCACAGGCATAATCGACTCCCATAAATTGAAGTATTTGACCTAGTTTTTTTCATATGTACATCTCATAGAACTGTCAAATGAATAAAAAAACGCATTCATGTATTCAAGGGCTGATGCTGATATTACTGACTTCAAAATGTATGATGCGAAATTCAGTACTGTACATTTTCATTCGAAAGATTGAAAGTTAAAATGCTCAGCATGCCAGTACCATCTGCAGTTCAGGCCAGTCAGCACAGGCGGCGTTTCTACATTCTGTAATGATATGGTGTCCGTACTGTGAAGCGCCCCCTATCGGCGTTCTATGTTACGACACCTGATATGTTGGCCTGTTAATCTGTACAATTTTTTTATCGGCAACAGTAGTAAGCTGGAGTTATAAGATTATAAAACCAAAAACAAACTTAAGACAGACATTTGTACACCAATGTACTCTTCATAGGGACACCAATAGATACTGCATGTGGCTACAAATGATTAGCATATGCATGTACAAGTATATTGATTTACATCAATACAGCCAGTGCTACGGTGACAGCATGGAATCAAACATGATGACAGCAAGTTGACACAGAAATCTCACGGAAGAACATGTCAGTATGACGAATGGAACGAACGTCCCTCAGTGAAGGTAAGGCAGCAACTTGGATTCCGTGCTCGAAAATGTAGCTGTTACGTATTACTAGCGCCCTCTGGTTGTGTTGCTGTACATTGCAGGTATTCATATTTACTATACAGTTGGGTCTTCAGACAGGGTTAGATGGCGAAATGATGACGATGGGTTATCACGTAGCCATGTGTTCTTCAAAACTGCACATCAAGTGACGACGTAGTTGTAGAATAGCCTTTGATCAACCTGAAGTGATGACGTAGTGCCTTTGATCAACCTGAAGTGATGACGTATTACAGGCTCCCCTTTGACGAGCTTGACTTGGCGTCCGTCGGGTCGTAAAGCTCCTTCAGCTTTGCAGCAGAGACTACATGAAAAGGTAAGATCGACTTTCACATAACGATGCATTTATACGATACAATACAATGTTAACAATCGTGTGTCTAGCCTGTTTACATGTAACATTGGTAATGTTATTTTTTTTATTTCTGACTGTGTACCTGACATAAAGACACAAACATATCATATATTCAGTAAAACGATTTTTGCTGGCGACCTTGCTTACCCTGTGACGCGGACAGGAACTTGACGTAGTTGGAGGGGAACAGGCCTATCCTGCCCCTCAGGTAACCCAGGCACCAGCCGCCATCTTCCCCCTCCAGCACCTCGATGACGTCATCAGTCTCCAAGTGTAGTTCGTTTTCCTCCTGAGGCCGGTAGGTGTACAGAGCTCTGGCGTATCTCCTCACTGGGTACCGAGAAAGAAATAAAATACAAAGGGCCCAGCTTCTGTGTTATTTTACTGTACATATTCAATTGCTACACATTTCATGGCCTTTGTCATAAGGTAAGATGAGCAGACTCGAGTACTCAACAGCGCTGCAGTGCGAAAAGGAATCGCATGATGTCGCATCTGCATCATCACGTGGATAGCCATAGCGGTTCGAATTGATTTCTTACGTTCACCACGAGGCTTTAAAACGATTGGTAGCCATAACTAAAAATGCATGGAAAAGGCCCAGTCTTATTCATTGGTTCCATAAAGGCAAGCCGGATGTCCCACTAGCTGCTGGCTATTGCAAACGGCTTGTCGCAACAACATACTAGAAACTTGGATTGCAGTTATAGTTTTGCTGGTTCTCTTACCTTTTGACTTGCTGGCTGTCCGTCTGATTGTCTCGATGCCGCCGTAGGGAGCGGTTGGTGATCTCGGCTTGGCTGTACATGGAGGACAAGGATAGATTTTACACGTATCACAAGTGCTCGTGTGACAGTAGGTAAAGCCCCTGTTACACAGGCAGAACCTTCCGCCGAACTCCAGCCGACCAAGGTTGGATGAAGTTCGAGAGCAGTCTGACCAGATTTAGGCCACGCCTTCTACTCTGTCCGAGTCGAATCGAATTCAAGTTAAGTTTGAGTCAAATTTAACTGCAAACTACGTCCCGACCTACTCTTGAACACCAGGCAACCACCAGCTATGCAAACCCCCAATATTCTAAAACATTCAGCTGGCGCAGCCAAACAGTAGCCGACCTGGCAGAACACCAGCCGACCCAACCGACCTTGCTCCTGACTTACTTTTATATGGTTGTTCAAGGTTGGGGGGAGTTTGGCCAGTGTTCGGAAGGCTATATTCGGCTATGTGTGACAGGGACATTAGCTAAACATGTAGAAATGTTGGCTCTTGTAAACAAGTGGTTGTGGATAACTTTGCTATTCAATGTCTATGAGTACCTTTATGTACATGTAAGATCTTATACCCACTGGTCTCAGGTATTCACGGCGGTGAGCTCACCACTCTATGTGTATGTTTGTCTGTGAAATAGACGGGGAACATAGTTCTCTTTGGAGCTTTTGAAGAAGAGAATTTTGATATTCAATGTCTGTAAGTACCTGAATGTACGCACACATACCGGGCGGTTTCAGGTTGGGGTGCCGGGTCACCTCCAGCGTCTCCTCCCCCGGCCTGTCCTCGGCCCGCTCGTCCTGGCGCTTCCCCATGTTGTAGTAGAACGAGAACCGCTTCTTCTCTTCCCGCTGCCGCCTCCGCCGTACGAAGTAGATGGTGAGACACAGACAGATGAGCAGCCACAAGCCGCCGGCGACGGAACCCACCAGAATCAGGGCGTCTACACTCCCCGTGCCGCTCCGGGACGCTGAACAGACGGCGGGTTTGGGTGTACAGGGGAAGGAAAAATGGTGTGTCAGTCTGCGTGTTGGATCTAGTAATATGAAGACTGATAACTTCATACTGAAAAAGACTTATACAGTCTGTACGGTGACTTCCTTTTGGGCTTTATGCCAAGGTTTTATAAAAAAAGAACCCAGCAAATCTGAAGAAAAATGGGTATTTTCTACAAAGTCTTGCTCATCCTACTCCATTCCAAGACCGCAGGGCGTATCTTTATCTTCTTTGCAGATACGTTTTATCTATGTTAGAATTCAGCCGTGAAAGCTGTTTTAACTTAAGGCATCTTCCCACTGGCATCCGTCCAATTCCAACTTCCTGCTGGTTAGCAGCTTCTGGGACTAAAATTATGCTCATCACGTCCTTCTAACTTGGCCTTATGGATACTAGTAATCTACGGTAACTACCCCCCCCCCCACCCGCCACTATACTGCACACAAGTACCTAAGGTAAAAATCAAACTCTGATACTTGCAGTAGAGGCTTGATGACGTCAATTTTCCCCACATTTTTGACGGCGTTGAACGCGCCTTGTGGTTATGTCTTCCTTCTAGCTTGACCTTAAGATCAATCTACGGTAACCAATAACCCCTCGCCAGTATACTAGTATTAGAATTGCATTCAAATACCTACGGACACAGGAAGAAAAACGTGGTAAAAAATCCTCTTATGGAAAGGTTGACTTCACGTCACTTTTTCCCACGTTGTTGACGGTTTTCTTCTAGCTTGACCTTGAGGTCAATCTACAGTAACAAACAGTAACAAACGCGGTAAAAAAAATCAACCTCTTATGGAAAGCAGCAGCGACTTGACGTCACTTTTCCCGACGTTGTTGACGGCCGTGCAGACGTACGTGCCCGTGGCGTTGGCCGGCACGTTGCTGAGGACGAGTGAGCTTGCGCAGACGTCACGTGACAGCATCCTGTCGTCACTGCGCAGGCGCGCGCCGTTGCGTGACCACGTGATGTTGGGGAGGGGGTTGCCCTCGGCGACGCACTGCATGGTGATCCTGTCTCCCGCCCTGCCCGTCAGGGAGTCCGAGATGCTGATGATGCTCGCAGGGTCTAGAAAAACACACGAAACTAGAAAGGTAACATTTGTATACTAGAAAGGTTTTAAAAATTTTCAAAGCAAATGCATAATGTTTACCTTCACATGGTCTAGCCTTACAATTACTGCTCTGTTTATTCTTGCTCAAACACATTCATGTATATATGGTAACCCGTCCCTTGCTACATAATATAACCCAACACCACAGGGTGTCTGCTACAACGCTAGTTTCCATGGTGACAGCCGTCTGGTCTAGGACAGTAACCTGAAGAAACTGAGCAAAAATAATACGTTTTCCTTCTGCGAAGGTAAACATAACAAGACATCAGGGAATTCAGACTTCCGGGAAGTAACGGGAAGTATCTGAAATTTTTAGGTAGTGACCTCCAATGGGATACCCAGGAAAAGGAGGAAAGACAACATGCAAGAAATATTGACAAAGTATAGACTGGGTAGACTAGACAGACTTTTAGAGAAGTAAGAGGTCTTCCAAGACCGAGAGGAATGGATGCGATGTTCTCAACTGACAGGCCTTAAGGCCTATCTGGAGAAGATGTAAAAGTTAAGAAACCTCAAAGTTCACAGACCATCGAGAAGTGTTTTTTTGGCTTTCGTGGATGTGGAGGGGATTGTATGATGTAATCTAATCTTGTATTACACCACTTCCCCTTAAAACCTTTCAAAAGCTTCGCCAACTTTGTAGTATAAGCCCAAGGCTTACAAGAGCCCATATATCTACTTTACATCAGCTGATCTAAAATTCATGCCCGTTTCATCACCAGAAGTGCCTTGTATCGTAATCGTCACAACCAAAACGTGCCTATTACAGTAACCAAGGTCACGGTTGGAAGGTAGAAATCACTTTACGAATTCGAAGATAGGAAAATCAATACTGTTTTGATGTATGGACCATCCAATGCGCCAAAGGATATCATTTCGAAAGGATGGTATCGCGACTGTAGCGTCGTGATTTTGTTTTATCTCCACACGCGCCGGCGGTATCTCCTTTCCGGGATATTATCACGTTGTTACCTGGTACTTTTCCCGGCAATGTCGTTTCACAATGGCCCTAGTCCCCAACGGTCTAACAACGCAGGTTCTACAGTAAATTTAGCCGAATGGGGAGAACAATTGGCCAGGGAAGTTAAGTTAAGTTTAGCAAACATATACACAATATTTCCATTTTTGCTGAGTTTTAAATTCAATTAAATCATTATCTAAACAACTCAGACATTTTAGTCGGAATTCGGTTGTTATGGCAAAATGGTCCATGGGCGCTTCAACTAATCTATTTGATATCTTTTATTTGCTAAAATTACATGTAAGAATTAACATACCATTGAAACGAGTACACATTCATTAACAATCATCATAAATTCCCCTGTAGGAAGGCTTGGTTGAGGCTAGAAGGGCGCCGTGTGCCTTGACAGAACGCCGATACGTACGCAGCAATTATATGCATTAAAAAGATGTCGTCATGACCACGTAAACGTTTCGCGTTAAATCATTGAAGGGTGAAATGAAAGACAAGGCACCAGACATCGACAGTTTAGCCCCATGTCATTTAGGTGTCAGAGGAGTGCCTAGATCGTTGAAAAGGGAAAGAAAAGAGACGACATAGCTTGCGTGATTTGAATGGCGATACGTTCTAAGTTCAATTTTCGCAGAAATTAACGCAGAAATCAGCCAAAGCGACAACTGAAAAGGGTAACTGCACGGATGAATGGTAAGAAGGTTTCCTGCTTCTTTGGAGGTCAACGACCTGAATAAGGAGTTTTGTAAGATCTAAAGGGGGATCTAAAAGCAAGACTACAAGCAACAGCAAGACTACAAGCAAGCAACATTTTGAAAGCAAATGCGAAATGTTTACTTTCACATGGGGATGGTCTATCTCAACAAACTACTGCTCTGTGCATTCTTACTCAAACACATCCATATGTATGGGGACCAGCCCCTCCAACTTTATCCTGACAATTGCTACATAATGTAATCCAGCACCACAGGGTGTCTGATGCAGCACCAGTTACCACGGTGACAGCCATCTGGTCCAGGTCATTGACCTTATTTTTTTTGAGAAGAAGAAAAAGAAACAGAAACAGAGCAAAAACAATGCGTTTTCCATCTGCGAAGGTAAACAAGATAAACTAGACGTTACGTACATCGTACGTCCATCTTAAGGGCGTCACTGGCGGACCGAACCACGTGATCAGCCACGCACTTGTACCGGCCTGCGTCACCTCTGGTCACGTGACGTATGAGGAGGTTCGGGGACTGCATGTTCCCGCCGGAATACTTGGTGTCGAATCGGAGGTTGTCAACTCGGACGCCGTCTTTTTCCCAGTACAGTGACGTAATGTTGGGCCTGGCGTCCTTCACTACGCATGTCAGAGAGGCGGAGCGCCCGGAGGCTGTGACGTAAGGGTTTGCAGGGCCCACATCAACGACTGGAGGCACTGCATGTGGGAGAAAGACACATTTGTTTTAATTATGAAGATTTACAAGATTTAGTTAAAGCAGTAGCAGAGACAATAAAAGGCATCTTACGCGGAAGGAATGCTATAAAAGTAGTAAATAACAAAGAGAAAGTAAACTTATAACCATGTACATCAGGCCAAGACAACGTTCTCTCAACAGAGACGGGGGCGGTACCGACTTCTGACGAACTTTGACCCAGCGCTGACGTCACACGTGCGGGAAAATTCCGGTCGAAAATTTCGGTGAGTCGAATTAATTTTTTTTTGGTTGGAGAACAGCTTAATTTTCATAATGTAATTTATCAACTCAGATAAACTTTCATAGAAAGAGAACTTGGGTACAGGAAAATGGTAGGGAATACAGGATTGTTCACTTTCTTATCATAGTTCGCCCACGTACCCATCATGTTGACAGTGACGAACCCTTCCTCGGGAGGCAGCCCATTCACTGTCACCGTCAGGACGTACTTCCCCTCATCCTGCACGGTCGTCGCGTCGATCTTGATGGAAGCCTTCCCCGCAAGCTCCGCTCTCCCGGAGTAGGTGCCGAACGACTCGGTGGACCCGAGCATCGGGAAGTAGCTGAAGACCGGGATCCTCTTCTCGCTGTCGTACGGGTTGAGCTTGTTCCACACCACGGAGACGACCCTCCTCTGGGTTTGGTAGGTGGCCGGGAGGGTGATCGGGTCCCCGACAATCGTGTTGACGGCCTTCGGGAGGGTCAGGCTGATGGAGGACTGGGCCGCGCATTCTGTGGAAACGAAAGCAGGCGAGCTAGTTATCACAGAGGCTGGAGTCTTAATCTTGAGTCGACGAAAATCCCTCGAGACATACATTGCATCTTTGGAATAAAGCTGTATTAAGTAGAATTAGGACGACATGAAAACTCTAGATCTAATTTCTGGTCATTTCTTTACAAAGTAGGTTGAATCAACCCTACTCATTGGATATAAGTGCCATTTAGGAAGTGGAGGAGCCAAGATATGACGGCTTGCGAGTGTGTTTAAAAGCTGGAAACACAGCTGTCATCCATGTTTTTTTTTACATTCTGGGTGTGTTTCGTGTGAGCTATTTCAGCGCCAACCATACATGTTAGTAATGTGAGATGATTGCACAAATATGTTGAAAATTGGAAGGGAATTACAATATCACATGATTTTTTTTCAATCAAAATATTTCGAAAGTGTAGCGTTAAAGAGTGGCTGTATCTCCCAAAATCTAGTTATCAGCTGTGCCTTATCCTATCAACGCACGTATTACACTTAACTGCTGCTCTCAGCACTGCGGCAAATTTGACGATGGCGGCCATGCCTCTGGCCGATCGAATGGTCCTTTTCATTAGGCGTCTAATAAGAGCTACTAAAGCCATCATTTGATGATAACGAGGGCGCACTGGGAAAAGTACTAAAGTTTACAATGTTTGTGGTGCAGTAGGGGGGATATTAGTACGGAATATACTACCCTTAAAACACACGGCTGGTTAACTACTATTGATTCAGAGGGAGGGGGGATTCCCTTCAACATATCGGACTGATCTCTTTGTACTTTTGGTACGATACATTAAACTACCATTCAGACTTACTCCAGATCACCAGTCAACCCTAGTTGAATCCCCCGTCCACAAACGAATGTTTTAAACATTTTGAAACAGCTCAAACTCGCCGAACCTTGACCTGTATTTGTCTTGACTTGTATCTGTGTAGTATTTGTCCTGAAGTTTTGTAAGATGTTAAAGTTAATGTTAAAACTCCCGCGCCGTTAATTCCAATAGTCAGCCTTTGAATGTAGCTTTGCGCGGTTCCACCCAAGTTTGTAGGCTTGGTACATCATCGAGCCTGCATGATTTGAACTGACATTGTGTCCACAAAAAAGATTCTGGTAGTTCTTAAAGATACTGAAGTCAAACTCTCATCGTCCATTCCAGTGGTTTAGCCTTTAAATGTAGCTTTGTGGTCTCATCCAAGTTTATAGGCTTGATATCGGTGAGCCTGTTTCGAACTGACGCTGTGCCCGAGGTGACCACAAAAAAGAAAGATTATGGTAGTTTTTCAGATACTGAAGTCGAATTCTCGTCGTCCATTCCAATGGTTAGCCTTTAAATGTAGCTTTGTGGTCGCACCCAAGTTTGTGTGTTTGATATATCGGTGAGCCTGTTTTGAACTGACGGGGTGTCCCGAGGTGACCACAAAGTTCTATTGGCGGAGTAATTAGGTGTCCATGACCGACGCAATCTTCCCGAGTTATCAAGCGCTACGCTACAGCCTGGCCACTGGGGCGCTTTCTTCATCTAACCCGTGATGGACGCAAATTGGATCCCTGTAGATTTCAATGTTGAGATTTATTTGGTGCGTTGGATAGAAGCCAACTGATGCCTGTGTAGTGCTGCGAATGTTAAGCCCCTGTCACACACTCAGAACCTTCCCCTGACCACCAACTAACCAAGGTTGGCTGAAGCTTGGGAGCTGTCTGGCCAAATTTATGCCAAACCTACCTTTTTATATGAATCTAATCGAATCTGAGTTTTCTGAGTCAAGTTTCGACCCCCCCCCCAATACCGTCCCGAACACTGCTGAGCTACTCCCGAACACCAGCCAACCACCAGCTAAGGATAAATGAAAAGCAGTGCCTGGTAGTGAGCTGGGCATTCCTATGTAAAAATGACAGAAATAAAGAAATAAATTATGACAGTGGATTAACATATAAGTACGTTTACTTCTACTTAGATGCAATTTTTTTCAGTCTTCTCCAATATGTAATATATCGTACGGATCAGAACACAATACCGGCGCAAAATACGTCCTAGTTCTCATCTACTGTGTCAGTCTTCCCCTGGATGTCGTAGGGATCAGAACACAATATACCAGCCCTAGCACTCTGTACATAAAGGCGAAAAAATACGTCCTAATTCTTTGGCGTCCAACTTTACTACGCTGTGTTCAGAGGCGAGGTCGAGAAGATGAACGGCCGACCCTAATCTCTAAATCTCGCTCCTAGCCCCACTCCCAGTGATTGCGCTTTCAATAATCTACCTTAAGTCCGTCCCATGATTTGTAGCTTCCCTATTTTCTCTATCACCCCGCCACTACCAGATCGCCAGGGCAGCGTAATCTCGCCACTTTCCCCACTCGTGCGTGCTGCACTATGTTAGAAAGCGCTATCATCATCGTGATAAAACACCATGCAAAAACGTCGACCTCTATTGCGGTCGAAATCTCTCAGAAGTGTTGTCTGTTTTTGTTCTCTTACGATCTACTATCGCCCCATGCAGTAGTGCCAAGATAAGCTGTGATGTATATGCGTTCCCTGCCGACCTGGGTCCCTCATATCTAGACGTCGATTCCGCTCCTCTCTCCGGCTTAAGGACATGAATACCTTGTGATCTACACGGTTCCATCATCCCTGTTAGAATGATGGTCTTTCAGCTACATCCGATGTATGCTTCAGCCATCGTACCTCCATATTTGGGGCCACAGGAAATCAGTTAAATGGTACACAAAAAGCACACACATCAGAAAAAGACGAAGCATCAAAATATTTGTAAATGGAACAACCCAGTGTTGACGTCAAGTGGGACTGGTCGAAAGCTCTAGTTGAGAACAATCCCTTGTGTAGGAACAAAACACGACTTTAAACACGAACAAAAGATGGTGTCACAATTTGAGCACTACAAGCTTACGCTGTCTATTTGGAGGATATATGAGAAGACAATTAAAACATAAGGCACAAGAAAACTGATCATATATATTAGCATTGGCAGATTCACCAAAAATCTAACATGTATCGGTAATTTACAATACAATACCAAATTTCTCGGAGGATCAAAAACTTTAAGTTACAATGACATGCTTTACAATATGTACAATACGTACAGAAATCGAATTATAGATAAACATACATTCAAAAGTTGGAGGTGGAAATCATTTCAGAGATTTGTTACAGAGCAGTGTTGATCGTTTCGGTCTCTCCATTCAACACTTTGGTAGTGTGAGATGGTTTTGGTTTCTAAGTGTCTTTTTAGTTACTTCTTTCCTGTCATTTCTGTTCGCTCATGTTGGATTTTTTGTGCGAACTAATGCTGACGGAATAGGTCTACACAAATGGTGTACCAGCTACGGTCTCCTTCACATAAAACGATTCAGTAAATTAAGAAACAACAATGGTTAAGAAAGACGAGTGGTGATATAGTGAATGAATCACTCATTGCATGTTCATGCCCATTGGGCTGAATGCATGCATCAGAGTGTGATGTTACTTGTACACCATACTGAGTAACATGATACATAGGATAGAAGGATAACAGAATAACGTAAAGGTATTAACGACTACTAGAGAATTAAATCTAGGCCTTGAAGATATAGCGTAAATGGACACCCTCATCGTTCGATGTAGTACTATTAAGGTTATCTTTGACAGGTTCCCTTCCTTCTGGCCCAAACAAACCGAAGAAAGGAAGTAATAAACTTGACGTGGCCCTGAGCCTTCTTGACAATGAGGAATCTTGTTCTGGTCCTGTCTGCTCTACTGATTATCGTGGCCATGTTCTGACAAATGGAATGGGCAGAACCCACTTAATCAAGACCCAGCGACGGCAAATCGAACCTCGGCAGAAAATAACGGATGAGCTTGATGGATTCCGATAATTGCTCATTGGAGAGCGAGCCGAAATGACAGAGTACTCGCGGAAGTGGCATCCGCACAATCTGGGAGCTGGGAAGAAAGAACTAGGAAGTTTTTACAAGGAACGTTCCAAAAGTTATCATGGGGTGCAGAAGATTTTTTTCAGTCATCCCATTGAATTGGAGTTGGATCCTTTTTGTCCGCTACAATTTGAGCTCAACGCAGCCATGTACATCAAGTATCCTCTCCTCGGAGTTGTCTTTGAAGTGCTGATCTGCTACGTACGCAGCCTTAAGCTTTAATGTCGTTGTACCAGAGAATGTGTTTGAAGTGAGTATTGTGAAGAATGCCTAAGGGTGACGGCGGCACTATCTAATAGTATGCAAACCCTCGCTCTAATGTTGTCTACATTTTATCTTTACTTCATGTAGATTTAATCTAAGATGTGAAGATACGGACGAACCAGGAGGTTTGTAGGCCACAGGCAAGTTCCTCTTCTATTAGTATGACAGCAGCATGGAACGACATGCCATTGACATGGGACTCTATTAAAGGGTCAAAGGTGCCTGGGATCTTGTATCGAACATCGCCCTTTATCCTTTGGTGTCAGGAACTTTGACCCATAGATGTAGTCGCATGAGCGTCTGTTTTCTTGAAGAAGACGGTCAAGGTTCTGCGTGTTAGAATTCTTAGGGTGTTACGTGAGCGTATCTTAATCTTTTGCAAATTTAATCACCGGCGTAATAATAGATTTGTCATAATGAAAAGACGTGAAATGATAGGATTGAAGATTCCAGGTGGAACCGTTAGCAGGTGCGGCGGGTTGGCGGGCGGGTGACAAGTGATGAATTCTCACGTCGGTCGATACGGTTCGCTAATAATCCCAGCTCTGCATCGAACCGCGAGCCGCGTTTTGTCTCCTCCCTGATTTACGAGATTCGCCCGTTTTGTAATTTACTGGCTGGCAGGGATAAACGATCGACCCATCTGTCAATAAGGGCCGCGGGACAAGCGGAACCCTTTCTTGTGACAGTGGCAAGAAGTCACTCTGCTAAATCGGTGATAAACTTTAAAGGGAGGGCAGAGGCCAATTTTATTCTATCTTGCCGTAAACAGAAGAAATTACACCCGCCG